AGGACGGTACAGGCGTCGAATTGCCTAATTAGTATCAGTGAACAGTGAGCCGTGCCACAGCTCAAGCGGTTAGTCGCTGGGTTCCCACCGCGGCGGTCCGGGTTCGAGCCCGGGTCTGGTGAAGTGGGATTTGTGGTGGACAAAGTGGCTCTGGGGCAGGTTTTCTCTGAGTACTTCGGTTTCCCCTGCCAATCTTCATTCCGCCAAATTCTCCATCAGCATAATCACCCGGGGCAGGCTACAGTAGGCCAACCAGTGGCCGCCGTGCCGAGTGGATCCAGTTGGACTCCACCCCCCACTAAACGAATCAGTAAACAGTAATCAACTCCCATACTTATTCTTAACATATCGCACATGTATTTGGTAAAAGAATATTGTCAAATTTAAATATGTATTAATTGCGATAAGATAGAATAACTAAACAAATCATGATTTCCAAATAAGTATTTGTTTCTTATTCTTGGTCTGACATCTAACCTCAATTTCGTCTGTTGCCGTCCAGTTTTCGTGTAACTTGAGTAAATGTAGTTGTAGTTTCAGATAACATTCTGTTGTCTGTTGTAATGACGTCCTCTGCGGAGTGTACATTGCATCTTACATGTCCGCTGTAAACCTTTGTATGGAATTAGATCTGGTGAACGGGGAGGCCAATAATATTTTTCCCTCTGCACATCAATTTATTCGAAAACTGGACATTTACTAATTGCCGTACGTCACTGAAATTTAGGCGAGTTGATGTACTCTAGTCCACAAACTATGGAAAATCTTCATTTTCCAGTCCATTTTTAGTACACATTAATTCGTGACGAAGAAAAATAGACATCGCACGTACACATTTATTTCAAGAGTAATGTTATCTTATTTTCCATAAATTCGTTGGGTTATCTATTACCCCATCTTCCCCAAAGATTCCGCTTCACCTTACGAATGGGGATCTCATATTTGGTTAAATATATCTTATGAAATTTGGATGAAAATTGTGGTCATAGGAACAAATGGCGAACAGGGGAATGGACCTTTGGTGCCCCAAATATTCTGGAAATTCCTTGGCTGAGATACTGAAGATTACTCGTATATTCAGGGATTAACGTTGAAAATCAACCTTCGTTTCAGAGGAAGAGCTCTGTTTCTCACCTACTTTCAGGCTGGTTTCTTGCTCGCCTTATTCTTCTGTTCTGAAGATAGATGCGATATGTTCCTCCGAAACGTCTGTTGATTTTCAAAGGACTACACTGCTTTATATCCCAGAAGACAGTACTCTTCATAACCACCGCTGTGTGACCTCAAATCCTACAACTAAGAAACTGTTGGCTTCACAAATATTATAACCCATAGATTTTTTTAATTCGCTTAGTGGGGGGGGTGGAGCCCAAGTGGTTCCACTCGGCACGGCGGCCACTGATTGCCCTATTGTTGCCTGCCCCGGGTGATTATGATGATGGAGAATTTGGTGGAATGAAGATTGGCAGGGGAAACCGAAGTACTCGGAGAAAACCCGCCCCAGCGCCACTTTGTCCACGACAAATCTCACTTGACCAGACCCGGGATCGAACCCAGACCACCGCGGTGGGAAGCCAGCGACTAACTGCTTCAGCTATGTCGCGACCTCTCAATAGAGTTGCTCAATTAGTTAATCAGAATAGGAGTAAAATTATGAATGTGGGAGGACACTGTTGTGGTGTGTTTTAAGGGATCGTCACGCAAGTAGCCGGAAGCGTCAGAGAAGAGCTTCGAAAAGCCAACAGTGTCTCATCCGAGATTCAAATCGAGTGCCTCCTGAATAAACGCCAGGAGCGTCTCCTCCCCTTCCTCCCCCTCCTCCTCATCATCATCATTCTGCTGTGTGATATTTTGTGTAGTGAGCTGAAAAAGAATCCTTCCAGTCTTTGGCTCGTCTCCAAAACGATCGTGCCCCGTGAAGGTCTTGACGGGCAATCCAGAAAGACAGGTCTGCGTAATATAATAGAAAAAGAAATTGAGTTGTGTATTTCACTCAGTCCGTTAATGTAAGTAGAAGAAGCCAGCATAGTAGAAAGGGTCGTTACTAGTTTGAAAGCCGCCAAAGTCCAACTTGTGGTTATTTGCAGTTCAATGTGATTCATTGTGACGTTTCGGAGATGATAATCAGAAGGCTTGTCAATATGTTGGCATATTCATGGCGCCTCGTGTGTTTCCTAAGGATTTTTATCCTACTGGAATACATCTGAAGAACCTACTTATGTTTAGGTTAGCATATACATCTCAAATATAGAATTATAATGGTCCATACGTCATCATGAGGGGACCAGAGTGTACCATCTTGTTATTTATTATTCTTAAAAATTGCGTCACTAAATTTACAGCATATTTTCCGAGTATTTATTACGGTGTAAATCTTCACGATGGTATTTTGAATGGAAATCGGTTTATTCCACCCTCAAAAATGCGCACCTCCGCCATGTTGGTATTTATAATACATACGTAATTGACTTCAGGGAAGAGGATCCTTTTTCAGAAGCTCAGTTGTTCACTAGTTAACAAATTCTCTGCCCTTTATACAACTTAACAATAAGAGTTAAGCTCTGTGTTTCCAAGATTTCGCCATTGCACTTTTCTAAGCCAGTTTAATCCATTTAATCCACCATGTCTCTAAATCCCATTTATAAAGTTATTCCTCTAAAGGGAAGAAAGTGTGTTTACTAGATCACCATCCTATATGTATGCTTCCCAGATCATCTTTCGAACGATTTTCATTAATTTTGGTATGAACGTTGTGGCAACTGATTCCATCCTACCATAATTCTCTTCAATTTCTTAAATTCATTAATAACAAAGTAGCATCATCCAATTTATAAACCTGGTATGACTTATGGTAATGTAGCTTAGGAAAATATTTTCGTGCAGTTTTTTGACAACATCTAAAGTAAATGCGTGGTGGCCTGCATGCGTTTGTAGCTTTCAGTTTGATGGTGATACGTAATGAACCATTTTTGCCAGGCGTGTAACATTCAACACGATGATACACCAGACTTCCTATCATTCGACGTCACTTATTCTGAGATATTGGAAGCACCATAAAACAAACCAAAGAAAAGGAAAAATTACACCCACCGATGTCCATAAATGTTACACGAAGTGCAGTATACATTATGGCGTATTTGTTCCTTGCAAGAACGTTTGAGCCACACAAACGCGCACGCAACAATGGAACAATGTCGTTATGCAACCTGCTTCTACACGCCCGCTCCGTAAACACGCTTCCGCGCAGTGCAATGACATCACATCCCAACAATGCTTAGCCAACACGTGTTTTCTGTGTGGTCTTCGCTATGCAAAAACATAACTGTTTTCTGCGCTGTCCGTGCCGCGGTTATATAACACGAGTCCGCTTGCAGCTAACAGCATTTTAGAAGAGTTTTTAGTCGAGTGCCCAAGTTACAGGCTGATTGGACAAGATATGGCAAGAAGACTTCATACTGATTAGAAATGCTAGTTTCTATGTTGAGCTCGATTGCTAGGAGACGGCTAGTGAAGACGGAAAATCGTAGTGCGTGGGCAACGGTAAACTAGAAATTGTGTATATAAATGATAGCGCTGTATTTAATTGTGATTAAGAAAACTTGTAAGGCCGCGCCATAGCTCAAGCGGTTAGTCGCTGGCTTCCCACCGCGGCGGCCAGGGTTCGAGCCCGTGCCTGGTCAAATGAGATTTGTGGTGGACAAAGTGACGCCGGGCAGGTTTTCTCTGAGTAATTCGGTTTCCCCTGCCAATCTTCATTCCAGCAAATTCTCCATCATCATAATCAGCCGGGGCAGGTACAATGGGCCAATCAGTGGCCGACTTATGCCGAGTGGACTCCCCCCCCCCCACTATGCGAATTAAAAAAAGGGAACTTGTAACCGAAGTGCAAATAACCCGTTATTTTCTTCACGCGTATCGCCCTACAACTGACAGCATATATTATATATACTGGTTTTACCGTCGGCACAACAAATCCACCAAATAATTCACTCACAATTTTATCGTGTCAATTATGCATTTATTTGGGCTAAAATACATTTTCGCTACATGTTTCGGCTTTTCATGAAGCCGTCATCAGGCTATAAATTCCATGAACTCAAATTACTGAGTTTTAAATTTGTATATGGATCCATATATTGCAATTTTGTCCATTATTACAATCAATTGCTGATGTTTATATGCACAGCATCTAAGTATCACTGGAGTATATCGGCTGATGATGATTTCATGAAAAGCTTAAACATAAGGCAAAAATGTATTTTAACCCAAAGAGATGCAGAATTAACACGATAAAAGTGTGAGGCAATTATCTGGTATATTTATTGTGTAGACGATAAAACTAATATAAATTTATATATTATGATAATACAGCAGGCTGCACTCCTTGAAGTATACATGCATTATATCTGCTTATGGTGTATGTGCTTATGTGTGTATAGTTGCATGCATATATAATGCAACCCACTTTAGGCAGGAACATGAATATATCAGTTTTGCTTTCCTCTTTAGATGACGAAATTTCTGTTGGCTATGCAGAAACAGATGGAATATAATCCGCAATTTAATTCACAGATATAATAAACAGCTGAACTTTCAGCCGAGGATATGAAAATATCCTGATCTTAACTTGTCAAAATCTTCTCTCTTTGCAGAAAGTGGAGAAACCTGACTGAAATTTCAGCCTTCATGAACACTTTAGTGACGCAGAAGTACACACTTATAAATGACAATTACAGTTGTGGAAAGTGGCATATGCGTCATGGGCGTGGAGGGGGGGGGGAATAATATTATAAAACTGATGTGTGGATAACTGCGTGGGGACGGTGCAGTAAACATACGTTCGTCTTTAGGGCCTACTTCTCATGACTGACGTTAATCAGCTTTTTCATTTTATGACAAGACAACCTGCTGCGTATTGCATACGCCAAACAAAAGAATAGTATTTGTGTTTAAGAGTAGCATCTTCACTTTATATGTTTATTGTTTGTTCAAATACTCACCACATATTGGAGTATTGTTAGTTGTCTTTGGTGTCTTCTCCCACGAGAATGACCCCCACCTTCGTCATTAGGCAGTGAAGCGTCATCATACAGAATATCTTGAACGTCGAATTTATTTGCTTATTTTTGTAAATGACATAAGTTTTAAAATTACACTCTGTAACTCTGTGGAAGAGATAAACGGGATGGAATTTTAGCTGTTGTATTAGGAAGTTTCTATCTACTGCTAGACGCTGATGTTTGTTTAGCTGTCAGTCGCGTTGACCGAGTGAGAAGAAGTGAAAAGTATATATTTATATGCAAACGGAATAACAAACCAAGAATAAAATCGCACTTGTCTATCTCCGTCTTCACGCGCAACTTGTTACTACGCTCGGTGGCATGTCCACAGCAACTGAGGCGCAAAGACGCGATACATTACCATCTTTCTGCAGCATCCCCCACAGTGCGCAGCGAGTTTCTCTTTCCACCAAGAGATGGCGGGCTACTCTTGCAAGATAATCTAGAGTAGTTCGCATTTTGACCGTTGAAACTGCTTCGCAAACAATTCAGACTTTCCCCAATAGATGGCAGTATAGAACAGTCACGTTTGTGGTGTACATTTCGACGTATTGTACGAGAGGGCATTAGTAGTATAAAATTCTTCCAAATACTTGGAAGTAAGATTCTCACAGTTAAATAATACTTACTCTGATATAGGCATGCAACACGTCAATTAAATATTTTAAACAATTAAGACAATATTATGGTGTTATTGTATCAGGCTGCATTTTGTGCCCAATGTACCAACTTTAGCCCATAAATATCAAAATCAAAAGTAAACAGAAAATGCATTATGTAACTTTATGTAACTTATGACTAGTGGAGACTAATTCATACATCCGATGGATCCTATTTGGGGCTAATGTATTTTAGCTTTTATCCTTGGCATTTCTGACCCACCATAGGGAGTAACGTCGGCCAGAAAATACGTATGCCAATGCGTTAATTGCTAATAATATGAAACGAACATTTTCTCTGCTGTTAATTAATTTAATTATTTTCGACGCCACATTGTCTCGATACTGACAGCGTCATTAAGTAATAACCAAATTTAAAAACAAAATTGAACTGTTTAAATTTACCCACACCGATATATCGACATGAACATGTGCGTTTCTATTTTATTACGCCCGTGCTAAGACAAGGTTTGTTCCAGAAATATCGGTTCCTTCTTTCAAAGGGACAAGTCTTGCCACCGTAAGTAAATGACGTTCAAGGTTCGTTCATGAAACTGAGGCCTTCTTGTGAAGCTGCTACTTGTGCAGCTACTGAAAAACTTCCCAGCATTTTATGGAACCCGAAGGTTAATTACCGTGCTCACAAAAGTCCTCCACTGGTCTCTATTCTGAGCCATATCAATCCGGTTCATACCACTCTATCCTATCTCTCTGAGATCAATTATAATATTTTCCACCCACCTGCATCTTGGTTTTCCAAGTCGCCTCTTTCCTTTTAGCTTTCCCAGCAATATCCTATATGCATTCCTCTTCTCCCCCATTCAACTTGTATATAATTATATTCGTTAAACAAGAATTTGAAAAGTAACACGATCCTAGGACCGCGCTTCTTGAAGCTATCCTTGTAACAGGCCGTGCAAGCCCACAGGGTTGTGAGATGTTGAGGCTCCCACATTCTCTCTAGACAATCGGTTCATAGAGGGATGTGAGGTTTTCAGCTTTACGGGCCGGCCGCCCCTTACCCCCAGGAATATTCCAGGTACTCATTTCTGTTAGAGGCTGAGTCTACCCCAGGGTCATAGTGCCGCTGGAAGGATTAAGTAAATTTAAAAATTCCACCTCATTGGGATTCGGTCCCGCGACCTTACGGCTTGTGGCATAGTGCCTCAATCAACTACGTTACCGCCTGCCCCCGCTTCTTGAAGGGACTGACTTAATTATTCTTATTACAGTAAAGGTAAGGCAATGTTGTCCCTGTACTTAATTAATTAAGCATTCATCATAAAGACGTATTGAGTAATGGAGATATAGTTCCACGAGTCTTGACATTGACACTAGATGGAAGTGAATTGTCAGTTTTATTCCCAGGCCGCTTTACCCCCGGCTCTGGGGCCCACCCAGCTTCCTATCCACTGGGTACCAGGGGCTCTTTCGCCGGGGGTAAAGCGACAAGGACGTGAAGCTTACCACTCACCTTCTCTTACTCCCAAGGTCAAGAAAATATGGATCTATACAACCACTCCTCCATGCGCCTTCACGGCGCACAGGGGATAATTTTTATTTTTACTGTGCATATTTACAGATAAAATAGTTTGTTTGTACCATCTTCTGCATATACTCTGCCACCTGGCGAGAGAATTTGGGATTCCCAGCCGGTGTTGGAATACCGGAACTGTGGTGAATAAACTGTATAATGCCCCTTTGTAGTGGTGATATAAGGGTCGCGTCACTAACTTTCGATAGCGCACCTTAATTCGCCTTTTATATGCGGAATACCAATCTGTTTGTTCAAAAATGAACAGAAAAATACGTACAGGAGAAATGTAAGCCGTGCTCTCCTTACGGAATTAAGCCAATAAGGTATAAATGAAAGCGCTGTTGTCTTCTGTTTGGCGCAAAGTAACATTATTTTTGTGAGAAAGTATAGATTTTATTATTATGGAGGAATATCGACTGTTTGTCACGGTAAGCACTTATTTCATGCTAAATAAATGACCCAGTATCAGATGGAGGCGTGTTCAGTGCGGCCATGTTTAATGTTGTAATTGCTACTTGCATTTGTTTCGTTCAATATGCGAATTATAGCAATACTTAATTCTAGAAATTCACCACAGATGGCAGAAGAGTGATAACAGTCGAACACCTCTCGAAAATATAACAGTAAGGAACGCGGTAGTGTAGTTGCTTGAGGCACTATGCTACAAACCGGAAGGTTACGGATTTGATTCCCGATGTTGTCATTGGATTTTTCAATTGACCTAATCCTTCCAGCCCTGGGATCGACTCAGACTCTAAGAGAAATGAATACCAGGAATCTTTAACATTTTTTAAATATATTTTTAAGAATCTATTGTTCTAGTTTTCCACTGATACAAACAAAGAAACAAACTAATCTAAACTCTTGGATCACACCTCGAATAATAATTACTTGTAAACATAAAAGAGATTTATATATGCAATTACAGAATAATAATAATCCAATCGCTACATCCCATTACAAAAGTAGTCTAAATTACTGAGGGCGGTTATAAAAAAAGCAAAACGAATGGAATATGACAATTTAATTCTAAATTTCCATTATAAAATCAAAACTACATGGGATATTATTACTACTGAATCTGGAAGAGATAAAAATAGAAATGATATAGAAGCTTTAAACGTAGAAGGTAAGAAAATCATTGTTCACCAATTTATTGCTGAAACTTTCGTCACTATCGTTGGAAAAACCAGGAGACAAATTAGAAATACTCATAGACACGTTAATAATAATGATGTGGACAATCATATTCATTTCATCAATGAAGCGTTTGACAACCCTTTCCTTAATATTGAATGTAAATATACTACAATTGTAACGTGTTTACCCGGCGCCGGTGGGGGTGGCAGGTCCCGCCGCCGCCGCGTACTTGTTACTAAAAACTCTCACTAAGGCCACCGAGAGTCGGGGTTCGTCTTGGTGCAGGAGCTGACGCTAAAGCCCAAGATTAAACAGACCACACTCCACACGTTGATAATATTATTAACCAAGTTTATTGAAGAAATTAAACACAAGAAAGAAATAGAGTAGTTTTACATTTAGAAAGAATGAGACCCTCGCGTGAGGCGAGCTGCCTTGTGTCTGCTAGCCTCGGGCTTTGTTCCCAAAGAACCACCACGTGCTACAGTGTTTTTTTAGGTGGCCATGCAGCCTCGCATCCAGCCAGCGATGGGACCACTGGTCGTATCTCAATGTTTACTGGTGAAGGGGTGAGGCCACAT